GGCCCACAGGAATGGATTGGGACCTTGTCTCACACTGATGATACCTCAGATGCTGGCCAGCTATGCGAACTGCCTATTTCCTAGAGCTGGAGTTCTTTTGATTTTTTTAACTAAATTCAAACCTGTAGATTCTCTCCTCCCTCATCCCAGGAAATAAAACAAAATAATGCTTTTTGACATTGTTTCTAGAATTTTAAAGTAAAAAATGATGGTACTATCCCAATTTTTATTTCTGAACACGAGAGTAGATTACCATAAAGGCAAGATCAAAACATTATACCCCCTAATTTCAAATAGACTGTTGACTCCCAAGGGTTTTGGTCAATACCGGCACAAAGCTTTTCCATTTGACATGCTTTGAATGTTGTTGTTTGGAGGAAGTGTGTATGTGCGTGTGTGTGTCTGTGTGTATGTGAGGGTCAGTAGTGTCCCATCAGTATCAGTCAGTGCCTGCCTGAGTTAGGAGAACTACATTCCTAGTTCTGTGTGAAAAGTGTGTATAAAGCAACATGAGACATTAGTCCTCATTTTGTCTTAAATTACAGACTAATGTTAATTGTTCTCAACTGGATTTTTTTCCCTAAAAATTCGAACAATTTTTTCTTTTGGGTTAAATGAAGTATTGTTAGCTGGAGCCAGTTTGACATGGTGAGAGAGATGTCAGACTGATGAAAGGTGTGCAGCCTGATTTAAAACCAAACCTAGAACCCTTTTAAAGAACAATAAAACATATTTTACACGCTTCTTGTGCATTTTTTTCCTGCCCCTAAACTGAGTCTTATTTATGCCTGCCTCCCTTTCTCTGGCTTCTATTCTCAAGGACTGTTTTGAAGTCTAATTTACTTGAAGGAATTGAAATAAAGATTGGGAAAATGGGCTGGTGAGATAGCTCAGTGGTCTAAAGCACCTGCTTAGGCAAGCTTAGGTGCAGGGGACTTTGGTTGCATCCCTGGGACCACATGCTGTGCCAGTCCTGAGGGCGGGCTGAGCCAGCCAAAAGAAAAGATTGGGAAGATGAAAGAGTTCTGCTATCCAGGTGTTCAATAAGGGTAAATTTTATCATGGTTAAGATACAAATGGTATATTCTCTAATTTGGACACAGCATAAGAGTTCATCTCATTCCACATGCATTTTTGGAAACGGGGAACTTTCCTTTATGAATGGATATCTATTCACCCAACAAGTTTACGTGCTAAGTGGGGCTGGGGAGATGGCTTAGTAGAATTAAGTGCTTGCCTGGCAAGCGCAAGGGCCTGAGTTCAATCCCCGGTTCTGGAAAAAAAAAAATAATAATGTGCTAAGGTAAAACATTGGTAATCCACTTTGGAGAAGATTGCTCAGTCTGGAGAGGGTAGTCAGATATATAGACATGAACATAAGTAACAGTGTGTGGTTGTAGTGCTTTGTTACTTAATCTTTGGTCTTGTTGCCTAATCCTTGGTACATGACTCCCCCAAACCAGGCTGTATTTCCTGACCTCTTGTTATGGTTTGTATATAGGTGTCCCCCAAAAGCCTCATGCAGTCTTGGGGCAGCTTCTGGAGGGTTTTTTTTTAATTTTATTTATTTGTGTGTGTGTGTGGCCAGCTCAGCCCACCAGGGGACTGGTCTGGCTGGCTTGTGGTGCTGGGGGATTGAACCGCGGTCCCTGTGCTTTGCTAAGCTTGTTCTAAGTAGGTGCTTTAGACCACTGAGCCATCTCACCAGCCACATACAATGATTATCTTATTTGGTCTTTGCTCTCCATTTTTTTTATTTTTATTTTTATTTATTTTTTTTCTGGTACTGAGGATTGAACTCAAGACCTTGCACTGGCCAGGCAGGTGCTTAGGCTGCTAAGCTGTCTTCCCTGGTCCTCACTTTTTTTTTTTTTAAGTCTGCAGAGCCGGGGATTGAACTCAGGCCCTTGGGCTTGCCAGGCAAGTGCTTATTCTACTGAGCTATCTCCCCGGCCCCTTCATTTTTGTTTTTTGAAATAGTCTTGCTGCATAGTTCAGTCTGGTCTTGGACTCAGCAGAAATCCTGCCCTGGCCTGAGTACTGGTATTACAGGCATGTGCCACTGTACCCAGCCCCGCCCAGCTGCTTTTTTCTTAATAGACCTATTTATTTGGAGTATTGAACCCTGGGTTTTCTACATCCTAGGAAAGTACCACTGAACTACGTCCTTGCTTTGTTGTTTCAAATTGAGACAGGGTCTTGCTAAATTACCCAGGATATCCTCAAATTTGTAATCCTCCTGCCTCAGCCTCCCATATAGCCAGGATTATTGTCATACTCCACAATGTCAGCTATGACAAATATTTAGCACCTTTCCCATCTTCGCTCAACTTCTGTCTTTTACATTTAGAAAACGGGGTGGGGGGGAGCCACAGGCTCTATCATCACATTTATCCACCCACCTGCATCTGTGCTATCTTCTAGTTACTATAGACAGATTGTCCTTATTTAAGGCCAGCTCTTGTATACTTGATTCCACCCCTTACCTGTTTAAAGGGCCCAGATTTAGTCTGTTTTTCTGTCCTGTTCATTAACTTTTTGTTCTGCTACATTTTTCCTTTTATAGCAAATACAGCCTATATACTGTACTTTTCTCTAGTGAGCCCACCCCAAAGAGGATTTTTTACTCCATGGGAACTGCTTATAGAAAGATCATCAGGACCCCTGTAGTGCTTAGTCCAATAGTCAATTCTTATCCCTCCTGCTTTTTTTTTTTTTTTTTTTTTTGAGACGGTCTCACTATAGCTGATCTTTTATTTATTTTTACCTTTTTGAGACATGGTCTCACTATGCAGTTCAGTTTGGCCTTGAGCTCACTTTGTAGCCCAAGCTGGTCTTGAACTCCCAGAAATCCTCCTACCTCAGCCTCCCAAGTTACTGGGATTACAGCTGTACGCCATATGTACTACTATAGCTTTTTTTTTTTTTTTTTTTTTTGCTATAGCTGATCTTGAACTCGGTAATTTCACCTCATCTCTTGAGTGCTGAATGTGACATGCTGTGTCCCCATGCCTAGTTTATAGCTTTTTGACAAACACAACATAGTTGATGACTCCTTTGAAATACTTCAGTTGGGCTGGGGAGATAGCTCATAGGTGCCTGCCTGGCAAGTGCAAGGTTCTGAGTTCGGTCCCAGGTATCGCAAAAAAAATAATGGAAAATAAATGCTTCAGGAAATTTGCACATTAGTGCCCCTCCCCCATGTTCACATGCTAAATCCTTGGAACCTGTGCATACTACCTTACATGGTGAGAGTGACTTAGAAGATGTGATTAAGTGTAGGGTTATTTTTGTCTTCCATTTCTGGGGATTGAAACCAGGGTGTGGTGCATACTAAACAAGCACTACCACTGAGTTCTATTCCTGTCCACCTCGTTTAGGGTTTTTAAATGTGAAGAATGTCCTGGGTGACTGAGGAGAGCCTGATACAGCAGC